TATATATATATATATATATATATATATATATATATATATATATATATATATATAATGATACAGTCTCAGCTGTCGTATTATATTATAATAATTATGGGTAAGTTAATTTTCGGTCCGGTTGAGTTGAATCTGTACACGCAAACACACAAAGATACGCCTTGCGTGACCACATGGCCCCGCTCAGTACAATACCGACAGTAACCGACACATGTCCTTAGTACAATTCAAATATATAACTAAATGTGATATCAAACACCAATCAAAATATAAGCTAGTCAGTATGTTATGCTAGTTAGAATTATTGGACTTTTAAAATGTAGTTGTTATTATATGAATGAATGAGTATAATGAATGAGTGGCGGTATAGTGTTGAGAAGTGATATACAAGCGCATCCACAATATAAAATCCCATTCGAGACTAAATCATATTTAAAGCTGGATGTAGTTCAACCTAGCATTTATTGGCTTGGTTTTCATTCAATATACTTTATCTAAACAATTATCACTTAAAAAAACTATAATCTGTACTTAAGAAGACTTATAAAAGTAGTTAATATCAATATTAAATTATATAATAATTTATAATAATCTCGTTCTGATAGCACACTCAGTCAGTTATACCATGCACGCTTGAATAAGCAGTAAATAATGCAATAAAATTAGTCGTTTAGGCTTTGATGGATTTCAGGCACAATATTTACACGAGGACGATTGCACGTATCAAACGATTCACTACGGCACTGCGCTCGTAAAATTTCTATTATTTTTATTAGGTGGCTATTATTAAGTGCTTCATCTCAGCGGCCAGTGCAAGGGTTGATGTTTACGTACTTTCATATATATATATATATACATATATACATATGTACACACACATTTATTTATTTGTATACACGACGCGCTACAGGTGCAGCAGATGAAAAGTGTACGAGATGTTTAAACCATCACGCGATAACGCGTTGCACTATAGGTTGAATTGCTTTAAAATTGTATCGTAGCTGACGTATATGCAATACTCAGTAAGTATATATATATATGTGTATATATGCAAATACAACAACTTAACCGGCGGCGCAGCAACGTAAACCGATTTAGAGCAAAGAACACGCATTTTATAAAAGTTTAGTTTTATATGAATATAAACGTAAATACAGTAGATATATTTGTGGATATGTTTGTGTGTTTGTGTGTGTATTATACGGATAGTAACAAAATATAAATAACGTTTTAGGCAAACACGAACAGTCGTTGAACACGCTTGCACAAGTTCGGTATACCTATACAGATCGAAATATCGACACGTATACGACCGCGGCGGCGTTCGTACCAGTAGCCGTATTTCGGTATTTAGTGCATTGCGTGGTGTAAAATAATTTAAATCAATCCAACCAATAACTGCTGTTTTGTAGTAAAAAACAATATTATATACACATGATCATGTATATAAGTCAGAGCTATATGATGAATTATATACATTTCTCAAAATAAAACATAGAATTCGGGTGAAAATGTTAATATTAATATTCAGTTTCAATTTCAAGTTCCTACGGTTAATATTATTTTATTACAGTTAATACTTTTTTACTACAAAATAATTAATATAGCTTAATTGAAATTTGTCTAAATATCAGATTTTGCGTAAATTAAATATTCTATAGATTTTTAAATTTTTTTGTGATATTCTGGTAAAATAATTGCAAATAACTAGTTCGGTTAACTTGGTCGTGAAGTGCGCACGAATGCAGATATACGCTCCGTTATCAGTGAAAAGTTCAAAGGACTGCGTCATTACGCGAATAATGCACTATGGAAAGAGAACTTCAATATTATAACAGATATGGTACTCATATCTCAATACATATTGCCAAAAAACTCTGTACTCTTTACTATTCTAATGGTAAAGTGATTCTCTTTCAAAATTTATTCGAAGAATTTACGACCTCTAATGTTCCAAATGTCAAGCGTAATATATCATTATCCTCAACCATAAATTCACCATCACACAACGACATAAAGCTAAAGTTATTCACGGTTTGGTTTGCAGCTCTATTAATTGACAACGATCCTAATGATGATGTGTTTCCCGCGTCATGTGATAACAGTCCATCAGGTGCTATCTATAATATTATTTCAAAAAAGCCACACGTAAGTACTCCTATAACTCTCCTTCTTCCGATCCAAGTTAAAAATGTAAATGATATAACATTATTCAAAAATTCTTTATCAAGTATAATTGATATCAAAAAAATATCTTTTAAAGCTACCCAGTCATACTTAAGTCTTCATCCTAAAGACTAAGAAAGTTTCAATTTAGTAATTTGAGGGAAAACCTTTTTGAGGGAAACAAATTTTGAGTACCATTCTTTTCTTCTATTACATCTTCGCCCATTTTGGACTTCTTTGGTAAAAAGACCAATTGTGAAACAACTCCATACGTTTTTTTTATAAACGAAATTTCAATAACGAATTGATTGCATTATTCATGACCGCATACTGTTTGATAATCACAAAATTGTTATCAGAGCTAATAAGACACCTGCAGGACAACATGCGAGACGTTTTAATACGCCAACAATTAACGAAGTCGCTATTGTCGTCGTGGGTGAAAATTTAGAAAACCGAACTCATCAAAAAGGTTTTCCCAAACATTGCTCAAAATTATAAAGATCATGTATGGTTGAGCGAAAGAGTTATATTGGCTGTAAAAAACGTTGATGTCAATGAAATTAATTTTCAAATTTAAAATTAGATAGCTGGTGAATTAATGACATACAAATCGATTGATTCCGTTTCTAACCAAGATGATGTTGTCGACTATCCAACGGAGTTTGTAAATTCGTTGGAATGGCCTGGATTACCATTTCATAATCTACAATTAAAAATCGGATCGGTTGTTGCGGAATTTAAACTAGTCACGTCTTTGTAACGGCACTCGACTTGCAGTGAAGAAATTAATGTACAACGTCATCGAAGCCACAATTTTTAAAGGGAAGTTTAAAGGAGAAGTCGTTTTGATTCTACGGATTCTGAACGACGTACCATTCGACTTCAAATGGTTGCAATTTCCAGTGCGGCTAGCATTTGTAATGACGATAAATAAATCTCAAAGGCAGTCGCTATGTATTTGTGGCATCAATCTTGAA